GAGAGGTGTGTATGCCGCGGGCGTGGCGAGGGGGCCGGGGCTCCTGGATCTTGGAGGGTGAGTGCTGCCCAAGCGGTGTTCCCACAGCATCCGTGAGCTGCACGGGGGGTGCCAAGTCCTGGAGATGCCAGGCCCCCGCGCTGGGGGAGTCGCACCCCTCGGGTCGGCCGCACGGAACCCCGTTTTCTCTCGCGCAGCCTCCTGGGCTACCTGACCAAGTACGACTGCTCCAGCGCTGACATTAACCCCATTGGGGGCATCAGCAAGACGGACCTGCGGGTCTTCGTCGAGTTCTGCCTGGAGCGCTTCCAGCTCCCCGCCCTGCAGCGGTGGGTCCCCTGCTAGCCCGGGCTGAGCCCTGAGCCGTGGCCCGCCCCAGCCCCTGGTGGCCTGAAAACATTACCCTTCCGCCAGCATTGGGGTCCCGCGACCAGGCACCCCTTCCTTCCTTCCTGCTCCCCAGGCTCCTGCCGCCTGGTCCCCATCCCCCGTCGCCCATCCCCTGCCCCGTCCATCCCATGCTGAGCGGAGAGCCTGGTGGTACCTGACTTCATTAGCGTCCAGCTGCCCTGACTTGCCTGTCTTGTTCACAGCATCCTGGCCGCCCCGGCCACCGCAGAGCTGGAGCCCTTGGCCGATGGACAGGTGTCCCAGACGGACGAGGTAATGTGGGGAGCCGGCACGGCCATGGCATACTCAGCCCCAGGGCGCCTTATGTGCCACCAGCTCAGCCTGGTTCAGTGGCCCTGAGTGGGGGGGTGAAAGGATTGAGAAAAGAGAATGAAAGCTGGGTCTCGGTGGGACGCCGCTCCCTGATGAGACAGCACCAGTGCCCACAAGCCGTGTCTTTATTTTATAGCAGATGCCACGAGGCAAAGTAGGGGCGTGATCAGGTTGTTTACAGCATTCTCGTGAGTTTCAACCTCACTGAACTACATGCACCTGAACTCTAGCACAAGGCACGTGGGGCCACGTGTTCGGACCATAGGTTCAGGCTCACAGCTATAGCTGTTGGCTACGATTGTGCTGGGGGGACTCTGCCCTCCTGCTGGGACTTGCACGTGGCAATGAGAGGACCCTGTCCTTTCATTAGTCCGAGGCTTGAACCTGTCCAAACACTGTAGCCGCGCCCCACATGGTGGCTCTGTCCCCGTGGTTCTGCCTGCGCCGGGCGTGTGTCCTGGCTCCGTCGCGACTCCTTCCTGCCCGGGGCACCGGGCTCCTTTGCTGGGGTTCTGGCCTGGGAGCCCGGGCGGTGCGGCCACTGCTGGCCTTTGACATTTGGACTCGGCCGTCCGGAGGTTGGGAGCAGGGGTGACGTGAGGGGAGTGGGCAGGGAGGAGTGGACGGCGGGGGGTGTCTGCACGTCTGTGGGCGACCTCACAGCCCCTCCACCCCAGCTGCCTTTTGTGACCCGGCCGGGGGGTCCCAGGCTCTGGTTTGCAGCTGCAGCGGGCTCTGAGGGGGGGCCGGGCCTGCGTCACATCCGGGACCGCTGACGTCCTGCTGCGGCCCTGGGGGCACAGGGACACCTGTTCCTCTCCTGGGAGCGGGAGAGGGTTGGCCTCGCACTCGGGTCTGTGACTCGCCGGGTCCGCTGCTGAGTGGCGTGAGGAAGGGGTCCCAGCGTCACTTGCTGCAGAGGCTGCTCTGTCTCCCGCTGCCTCGTTGCGGCGACGTTGGTGATCAGCCGACGGCAACGGCGGGTTTGCTCTGGCTTCTGTTCCGTCCTCTGTGTGTCCGCGTTCACACCGGTCCCACCCGGTCTCCATGGCTGTGGCTCTTGTCGTTGGCACATGTGGAAATGGGGGCGTGCGAGGTCTCCGCCTGGTTCTTTCTCAAGGTAATTTTGGGAATTCTGGGTCCGTAGCATTTCCACGTGAAGTTTGGGATCAGCTTGTCTGTTTCTGCCAGAGCGAGCCCAGCGCGGACTTGCCTGGCGCGGGCGTGACCGTAGTCGCCATACTATGTGTCTGGTCTCCTGGCCGTGTAGCGAGATCTTGTTCATCTTTCAACAGTGTTTTGCAGGTTTCACTAAGCGCCGGCCCCCCGCCCGCCAGGTGGCTGACAAGGTGAAGCGGTTCTTCTCTAAGTATTCCGTGAACAGACACAAGATGACCACGCTCACGCCCGCGTACCACGCCGAGAGCTACAGCCCCGACGACAACAGGTTCGACCTGCGGCCATTCCTCTACCACGTGGGCTGGCCCTGGCAGTTCCGCTGCATA